ATGCCAGGACACCCCCTTTTCCTAACCCTAACCCTACCCTGGTGCACACCCTAACCCTAATACAGGGGTATAGTTCCCCTGGTAAGAGGGCGATTTTGAAAAAGCCTTCCCGGAGTAGCTTTTTCTGTGCTGCTCATCGTTTCTGCCCGTCCTAAACACATGCCAACCATCAAAACCATGCCAGGACTCCACCTTTTCCTAACCCTAACGCTACCCTGGTGCACACCCTAACCCTAATATAGGGGTATAATTCCCCTGGTAAGAGGGCGATTTTGAAAAAGCCTTCCTGGAGTAGCTTTTTCTGCGCAGCTCACCATTTCTGCCCGTCCTAAACACATTCCAACCATCCAAACCATGCCAGGACACCCCCTTTTCCTAACCCTAACCCTACCCTGGTGCACACCCTAACCCTAATATAGGGGTATACTTCCCCTGGTAAGAGGGCGATTTTGAAAAACCCTTCCTAGAGTAGCTTTTTCTTCACAGCTCATCATTTCTGCCCACTCTAAACACATTCCAACCATCAAATCCATGCCAGGACGCCTCCTTTTTCTAACCCTAACCCAGTGATGGTGAAAATTTTAGAGACCGAGTGCCCAAATTGCAACCCAAAACCCACTTATCTATCGCAAAGTGCCAAGATTGTAATAAAACCTGAAAACTGAGATTTTAGTTTAGAAAAAGCACCTCACAGCCAGTCCAAGCAAATATATACTCGCATTTATCCTGAGCAGTGCACTGATCAGCCATGCGAAAACTCGGACGAGTTGCAGCTAATGAGTCACGGCTCGTGGCCTCATCGCCTGGCGCCACTATTCCTTTCCGAGCGTGCGCATAGCCCCTGTGTGCGCTGTTGTCCGATGCTCGGCTGCTGGCGCGATGCTGGAGCGACTTGCTTGCGTGCCCGCTGGGGCACATGTGCCCCAGGTTCGCCACCACTGGTCTTGGGCATGGTTGGATGTGTTTCTGTGGCATTAGGAAATAAGGTAGACTTTCCCAACCGAGTGCATCTCAGGTTTGTTTATTTTATTCATTTTATGTATTTTTATGTTGCTCATCAGCCAAAAAAGGCATCTGGAGCACATTCCTTGGAGTCGGTAAAACCAGACAATCCCTGTGTTGCGGACGTGCAATCTAAAAATGCGCCACACAAATGGAAAAGGGGAGGAGGAGGGAAGAGGAAAAACCGAATTAATGTTTCAGTCGGACTGCAGTTATGGGCCCGCTTCCCCTTTCAGCTGCATCTGTTTGGATTCCTGCTTCTGCCTTCACAGCCGGCACAGCTAACGATTCAGGAATGCTGGCAGTTGGGGAGCCCAAGGTCTGGAGGGCGCACCAGGTTTCGGAAAGGGCGCAACCTGGAGGGCGCACCAGGTGACTCTTTTTCAACAGCAGGAGGGTCCCCAATACAGCCCGTCCCTGCAAACACTTATGATGAGCAAAAAACAAACTTTGTAAAAAGAGTTCTTCATAGTTGCATGGATGGAAAAACATCCTGCACGCCAAACGGAATAGTTGACGTAGGAGGGGAAAGGGCTTCGTTGTTCGGAGGTGGTGAATGTTGAACAGTGGCGGGAGGAAAAGGTTCCCGTTCGCGTTGGCTTCCGCAAGCCTCGCAGATTCGCCCATTGATTGCAAACACACCTGGCCTCTGGTTTCTCGGTGCTTTGGGGAACTGAACCGGATCCCTCGCTATGGAAAAGCTGCTCTCGCGTGGCTGCCGGCGGTGTTTCCGGCAGCAGCGAGCTGGGTCACGGCCTGGCCACGCATTCCACACAGGGTGCCTGGGGGCCGTTCTGCTGGAACGGACAGGCGGCCAGGCCATGTTCCATGTGAAGGTCATCGCAGAGCGGAAAAAATGGCACCCGTCAAACGGAACGTTTGTTTGTCGAGGCTGCGCTCCTCTCGTGTGAAAACGCAGCGCTGGCTGCAGGGGACCCGGCGCATTTTATGGGCATTCTTGGGAACTGGCGCGTGTGTTTGCCGGGGGGGGATCCTGGGGGGGCCGGGGCACAGAAGGGATCCTGCCACATCCCTGGGCTCTGTGCTCATGCCCTCAACTTCCCTGCTCGGCCCCCTTCCAAAAGGCTCAGTGGCTCTCAGCCAGACGTTTGCTCAACCCCACCTGAGTGCTCCTCCGATGGGGAATTTGGCCTGTGGGCTGGAGAAGGTTCGGACCCCCCCCACCCGCCTTGGCAGGAACCGCTGGGGCTCAGACCCAGTTCAGTTCTGCCCTGGCGCTGGCGCTTCCCTGGCCCGGTGGCCGGCCACAGACCACGGCTGCTCCGGGGCTGCTCCAGCTGGCCTTTGTCAGGCAAAGTGAAGCCACTGACTCGCCGGCCAGCGGGCTATAAATACGAAGCACTTGCCTTCCTGCCCTTGTTTGGTTGTCGCACCAGGGGGCCAGCCGCCTCCTGCTTTTCCGCACGCCCCGCAGCTGGGCTCCTGGACCTTTCCCACTGATGCTCGGCTTAAATTTAAACCCGATTTAAGTTTGTCCTTTGGGCAAACCTGATCATTATTACATTGTGTTTCCCTGAGAAAGAGCCGAAGGCATCTTGCACGCTCCCCTTCCTCTCCATTATATCCTCTCAACTACCCTGCGGAGTAGCTCAGGCCGAGAGGGAGTGGCTGGCCCCAAAACGCCTGGGAGCCTCGTGGCCACGTGGGGACCAGAACCCCCTCCCACCACACCGCCTCTGTCTAATCTGCCTGCTTCGTCCTCGCAGCTCTCCTTGGCATTCTTTCCATTGTTCTGTCGCTGGTGCTAGTATAAGACGCAGAGGGGTATCTTGATAAAACAGGGAAGCCAGCTGCCGCCCTCCGGCACGAGTCCATCAAAAAATGGCGGGTTTAGCATGAAGCGGCCTGGCTCGCTTCGGGAACCAAAACCACAACCGGGGCAGGGAGATGAGCTCTGCCCCGTTACGGCTTCCGTGGCAGGGGAGTTAAGGCAGCGGCGGCCGCCTTCAGAAAGGCGAGGGGAGACCCCTCCGTGGGGCGCGGCCCCGTCCCCCAGCTCAGGCCGCTGCAGCTGTCGAAACGCGGCCGGGGCTTGTGTGGGCCGCTGGCACCATGTCCAGAAAGAATGCCTGCTATCTCCGCGTCACCCCCCGCCCCGCCACCCCCCCACCCCAGAAACACAGCAGCCTTTGTCTCGGGCGTTTACGATGCCCCAGTGCAGCACAGAGGCGGCACTGTGCTTCCTCGATGAGCGGTGCTCCCTTCCCCCTTCTGGAGCGTGTGCTTTGCTGGATGCGGGGGGTGGGGGTGGGGGGTATCTTTCCATCAGCCCGTCTGTTCTCCTCTCCCCTGCGGGCGGGGGGGTGAGCGTGTCAGGAGAAAGCGTGGAGGAGATGGCCCGTTTTGGTACGGGCTGTCCCAACACAGAATGTTGCCAACTTCAGTATGGGGGGGGTCCATTCTTCAGCTGGCAGTCTAATGGGGTGGGGGGGGGGGACAGAGGTCAATCTTCTAAACACCCAAGCTCCTCTTTCAAGGGGTCTGGACAGAAAGCCGCTTCTAGCGCTAAGGCAGCAACGGGCGACTGCTGGCCCGTCGGATGTCTTGGCCTACAGTTCCCATCCGCCAGAGCCAGCATGCCCAGTGGTGCAGGGCGATGGGGGCTGGAAGCCAGAACATCTGGAAGGCCGCAAGCAGCCCACCCACGGTTTTATCCTGCTTCTGGGCCCCAAACTGGTTTACGAGGCCGTAAAATCTAGTGCAGTTTTGGGCGGAGAAGGAGATCTCTTTGCCGATGCACCAAAGGGGGATTGAGGGGCACATGAAGAAGCAAAGTTCAGGGATATAACGCCATAACATACCTTCGTCTCTCCTTCATAATTCAGCGTTTGTGCTTACGTGGTCCCAGCCCCCGAGACTTTTCCAGGCAGCTCCAAGCCGGCCTCCTCCTTTTTTTGCCGGTCAAGTTCAAGTCTCAGGAACGGTTCCTTGCAGCTCACGCCAAGGGCAGCATTTCTCCGGCCATGTTGGCCAGGAATGATGGGCGTTTTAGTCCGCCAGGCTAGCCCCCCTCACAGGGTTGTTGTTGTGAGGATAACGGGGGGGGGGAGGCTGGCCTGGATTCCTCACAGGAGCAAAGAAGCTAGGATTGAAATGCCGCATAACCATCATCGCTACAACCACTCTCCGTTGGGCGGATGAGCAGTTCTCAGGACCACAGGCAGCTTCTCTCCTTGGTTCTGCCTCAGTTTCCCCTTTGCCCACTTTTAGTTTGGAAGTTCCAAGGCCCAGGACTGTTCCTCTATGACGCGCCAGATCCCTACCCTGATGGCCTTTCTCCTGCTCCTCCTCTTCTAGGTTCCATCCCATCTGCAAAGCGTACCGGGATCCCCGCACCTCGGGAGTTGCCGACCACGGTAACCCGAGAGAAGGCAGTCCTGAGACCCAGAAAGGCCCAGCCCAGCCCGACTTCTTCAGGAACGCCAACGCCCACCAAGCACTCGCGGCCCACCCTCAAGTCCAAGAATGAGGCGGAGGGCGCCGATCGGTCGGTCCTGGAGGCCCAGGTCAAGGGGCTTTTGGCCGAGGCCAAGGCGAAGGATTCCGAGATCACCAGACTCCGGAGCGAGCTGAAGAAATGGCTGGAGAAAGAGCCACCGGGGGGCTATGACCCCGTCGAGCTGATGGATCCGAGTGGAGAGCCGTTGATCCAGGCTCTCCGGGAGAAGAACTGGACTTTCCAGCAGGAACTCCTGAGTGTGAGGGAAGAGAACCAGCGGCTGAAAGAAAAACTGAGTCACCTGGAGCACTCGCCGTTGTCCGATACCATGAGCAGCAGCAGCCTTCCGACCCCCACCACGCAGGAGTCCAGCTTCGGCAGCCCAACGAAGCCCCCCGCCCATGGTGACGGGGGCGACAGCCACCCCTGCGTCAACGGCCCCCCCTTGCGGAACTCCAGCTCCTCCAGCAGCGACGTGACCAAGGCGTCCCTCTCGCCCGACGCGTCCGACTTTGAGCACATCCTGGACGTGCCGTCGAGGCCGCTCTCGTCCGCCAGCAGCAACCCCTTCAAGGCCTCGCAGTGCTCGACCGCGGGGAGCTCCCCCAACAACGTCAGCGACCTGTCCGTGGCCTCCCTGACCGAGAGGATCCAGCGCATGGAGGAGAACCACCACTGCACGGCGGAGGAGCTGCAGGCCACCCTGCAGGAGCTGTCCGACCAGCAGCAGGTGGTGCAGGAGCTGACCGCCGAGAACGAGAAGCTGGCCGAGGAGAAGGCCCTGCTGGAGAGCTCCTTCTCCCAGCAGCGCGAGCGGGCCGAGCAGCTGGCCAGCGAGAACGAGAAGCTGAGCGCCCGTCTGCAGGAGCGCCCCAAGGGCGACGAGCTGGAGCAGCGCTGTGCCGAGCTGCAGGAGAAGGCGCAGTTCGAGCGGGAGAAGATGCTGAACATCCAGCAGCAGCTCACCTGCAGCCTCCGGAGCCTGGAGCGCGAGCACCAGGAGTCCCAGGCAGCCGTCAGGAGCCTGCGGGAGGAGAAGGAGCGGCTGGCCGCCCTCCTGGAGGCCGAGCGGCAGGGCGGCGCGGCCCTGGCCAGGACCCTGGAGGACTGCAAGGTCTCCCTGGAGGGGCTGAAGATCGAGAGCAGCTCCCTCCGGTCCCAGCTGGAGAGCGAGAGGAGGAAGGCCGCGGCGATGGATGCCGTGGGGGGTGGCGCCGGCTGCTCGGAGGTCCAGGAGATGCTGAAAGGGGCCCGCGCGGAGAAGGACCAGCTGGAGCTCACGTGCACCGAGCTGCGGCAGGAGCTCCTGAAGGCGCACAGCGAGGTCAAGACGCTGCAGGGGCAGCTGGCCAAGGTAAGGCTGGGCGGCCCTGTGGCCCCTCGGGTTCGGGGCCAGGCGCTCCGCCGTAGCGAGAGGCAGCCGTTCTTCTCGCGCCCAGCCGTGTGCTTCCGGGGGTGGGGGGCAGAAGTGTGGGAAACGGGGTGCTGCATTAAATAGGGCGGATGAGGGAAGAGGTCAGGGGGCTGAGCCCAACCCTCAGGGGTTCTGCAGGTGGCCGCACCCACTTCTCCTGGCCTCTCGTACAGGCAGCGCTGAAATAGATGGACCAAGGCTCCTGCTGCTACATAATGATTGTAGTAGTGGCGGTAATCATTTCATTTCTGTAGCACCACTTAGCCAGAGCGCCCTGGGCAGTTTACTGCAGGTGCCTTGGGTCAGTCTGAAGCCACTTCCCACTAGGATAAATCAAGTCTTTATTCAGAACCATGAAGTCTAGAATCTTGCCTGAGCTTGCTTGTGCCATCTCTCGTTAGAGCTGGAAAGGGCCTCTGCTTGAGACGATACTGGGCTGGACATAAGGTATCTTCCTGAGTATCGGATGGCGGGGTGGTATTGCCATATGGGCCAGTGTGGGGCTGGGACTCAGGCAATCCCGGTTCGCGTCCCCGCTCGGCCATGGAGCCCACTGGGTGACTCTGGGCCAGTCGCATATTCTCAACCCAACCTACCTCACAGGGTGGTTGTTGTGGGGATATTGCGGAGAGCAGGAGGAGCAGAATGGTGTGTGTCACTTTGCATTCCGTAAAAAAAAAATGCAGGATATAAATCTGCATGAATAAGCATGGTTATGCCCCTTGCCCCTTTCTCACCGCCTCCCCACTCCAGCCCCTCAGTGCTTCCTCTTCCCCTCTCAGGCAGATGGGCCTTTAGTGCAGCTCCGTGCTCTGGCCAGGCCTCTGGTGCGTGCCCACGTCTGCCCTTTAATTCTGTTTGTGCCTCGCTGGGTAACCCAAGCCTGCAGTTAACCTTCGCCCAGCTCGGAAAACCGCCCCTCCATCCCCACTGAGGGTGCGGCCCGTGGGAAGGGCCGTTGTGTCAGCGGAAGGGAAGCCGGGCGCCCGGCCACGCAGCACCACCTGGTTGCAGGGACTGGAAATTGGAGATCCTTTTGGCTGGAGTTGGCAGTGACCGCAGCTACCTAGGAGGGGAAGGGGGGGCGACCTGCCCCTCTGGAGACCTCGTGGGAGGCCGTGGAGGATGACGAACGAGGGCAAAACCGATGAAATGTTTTTAACCTAGGTTTGGTTGCCAAATTGTCGCTGGGTTTGTTTTATTTCATTTTATTGTTTTAAATCCACATTTCCTGAGTTTTATTCCTTCCTTCCTCTGCAGTCCATTGCTGGCTCTTCTTTCTGAAATGATAAAATGAGTGGCTAGCCTCCCCTACGCTGGAGTCACCGGACCACAACACCCATCACCCCCAGCCCACGACAGCCATGCAGCTTCATGCTGCAGGCCCATGTGACCGAAGAGTTCCACCCTTTGCCACCTTGAGCGTTTTGCAGGGAGGGAAATCCCATTATTGTTCTTATTGCATTGCATGTATTTTCCTTCTTGCTTCCTCTAGTCAGGGAGATTTGAAAAATCTTCAAAAAACTTTTTAAAAGGGAGGCCAGGATCTGTATCAGTCATGCGCAGCTCTCTGTCCCTTATGAATGCGACATATCACAGATCAGGGTAGGAGCTCAACAGTGCTGGCCCCAGGGCAGGAGACATGCCCCATGTCCCAGCTAGAAGCCCTGAAGATAACTTACTGATCCTGAGCACAGCCAGGCAGAGATAATCCTTACAATTCGCATCATTTTTCCTACATAGAATGATTTCTTTAAATTCCAGCTTGCACACACTCCCGATTAGGACGAATCGATCCACGTTGGCATCCCTCTGTTTCTCTTATTTCCACCATTAAGTTCGGTTCCTCTGGCACGTGGGGTGTTTCTCAAGGCCAGACTGCACAGTGGCTTTAGAAGCGGGAGGTTAGGTAACAGATCTCTCCTCTGCCTCGACTCGGGACAGGGGAGAGGTCACTAAAATGGGAGCCAAGGATGCTCCGGCAGCTGGGACTCGAGGCTTGCCGGCACCGCCTCCCCCTGGTCCTGGAGCATCCTTCCGGGGCAGCCCAGCTCGGTTGCTAAGGGGCCCTTCTGATCCCCAGGTCGAGAAGGAACGCGGGGAGCTGAAGGAGGCCTGTGAGCAGCAGTCCGAGCAGCTAAGCCGAACTAGCCTCAAGCTGCAGGAGAAGACGGCGGAGAACGAACTGGAGATCAAGAACCTGAAGGAGACCATCTTCGAGCTGGAGGACCAGGTGGAACAGCACCGGGCCGTCCGGTTGCACAACAACCAGCTCATCGGCGACTTGGAGAGTAAGTTGACCCACGAGGAGCAAAAGCCCGGCCTGCCGGCGGACCTAGAACGCGAGGGCGCGTCGTGCGCTCCTTCCCCTCGTTCTGACTTTCCCAGCCCAGAGCCTGTGAGAAGGGTTGGACTGCATATCCCAGCATCCTCCCTCCAGCATGGCTGGCTGGGCTGATGGGTGCTGCAGTCCGGCACTTCTGGGAAGCCTGGTCTAAATTGAATGGAGCAAAGCGACAAAGGCTCAGGAAGTTTGGGGGGGGGGTGCGTGCGCGCAGTTTTATTCCTGGAAGGGATCCAAACTGTTTTGCCCCCACGTGATACCTGTGCGCTTTCTCTGGGGCCGAACCACGCCGTTCCCCAAGAATACAGCATATGCCAAACACGAGAGGGCTCACAGCACCAGCTTTTTATCTTCTCTGGTTTTATTTGCTCCCAGTTCTAAATTAAATCTTTAAAAAGTGAATTAGCCTCGAATTGGCTTTTTCATACCGTATTTTGCACACTTCCTGGTTTACTCATGTGTGCTGTTTAAAAGAAACCCACTTGTAAGCTGATTTGAGATTACCCATGACGCCCCCCCCCCCCCGCCAGAAAAGAAGGGAAGGAGGAGTACCGAGTCTTCTAGATAGCTGGTGTAAGCCTTGTGCGTGACCATGTGGTCAGAGGTCTCTGGATCGGGGCCATCAAATGCGTGAGAGGCGCGCAAGATCGCCTCCTGCTGGCAGGAGCAGAACGCATCAGCTTGCCTTGTCCGCTTGCTTGCAACTTGCTTTCAGTAAAACAGCGGAAATGCTGCGCATGAAATCAAACTTAAACACACCCGTGTAGCCAACCAACCAACCAACCAAAAAGTGCTCTATTTAAAAGAGATTAGAACGAAAGATGTAGCTAAGGTACAAGCCAGCAGCGGTGCTGGAGGTTGGAAAAGGCACTAACAACCTTAAAAAAAACTTGGTTTCCGAACCGGGGGCGATTGAAAGGTGTTTGCCTGGATCTGGGAAAAACAAAGCAGCAGAGGGGCCAGGCGACTCCCGTGGGGCGGGGGTGTTTTGCAGCTAGGGCGCCACCACAGAGAAAGCCCTTCCTTCGCTCGTCCCCGGCCTTTGGCGAGCGCGGCCAGAGAAGGGCCTCTGAGGGCAGTCTCAGGACCTAGGGCATGCGATCCCTCGGGAAGCCTGGCCCCAGGCGGTTTCGGTCTTTGCGCCAGCAGAATGCAGGCTGTGAAGATCACCCAACGCAGGCATGACGCATGCGAACTGCTGGGCTCGCCGCTCACGCTGCCCTATTTCGGTCTGGCTGCGGCTTCCAGGCAGTCCCACTGAGCAGGCGAAACCGCCGTCGGGCTGCACGGGTACCCGGGACGGGCAGCACTCTGGCTGTGACCGCCCGATGTTGGTTGTGAGCGTGACCTGCAGGGCCCGTGCTCGGTGTCCCACTGTCCAAGCACAGTGGCGTCATCCCCACAGAGAGGATTCCACGGGAGGGGAGGGCCTTTATACTGTGGGGCCGCCTTCTCTAGCAGCACTGCTGTGCGTGAGATCTGGTCAGAACGTTTGCTCATAGCCAGACCAGAACAATCTGGGCTTCTATTAAGTGCATTTATTTTGTAGAACTTGTATAATGTGTGAGGGAGGTGGGTGTTTGTAAACTCCTTGGGGGCAGAGCTCCACTGCAGCACCTTCTCGCTGGAGGTGCTGCAAAAACCTAAATCACTCTGAATTATTATAGTGAGTGACTTCAGGAATTCTCTAGCCAGAAGTCATCGCGGCCGCATCTTGCTCAGTTCCCATTCAGAAGTGGATTTCGTTCCACAAAGAATTGGACCGCATCCCCTGACTGTCCTAGCTGACCTTTTACCTCAAAATGCTCTTCCTACCTTTGCTCCCAGGTAATCTCCTGGAGTTGGAGGACCAGAAGGCGGATTTGGAGAGGCAGCTGAAAGCCTTGAACAAGCAGATGAAGGTGAGAAGGGAACGGGGGCTGTCGCTCCCTGGCAGAGTCCTGCCGCACATGCAGCCGATCCTGGGCTTAGTCCACAAAAGCTCCCGGCAGCAAGCCTGGGAGAAACCCTTCCCGGTCTGAAACCCTGGAGAGATGTTGCATGTCAGCCTGCGCCAGGGTGTTGGACCTCCTGGGGCGCAAACCCCATGCCTGCGGGCTCCAGCGGGCCAGGCCCCTTTCCCTCGACCTCAGACAGCTTCGCAGCGTCCTGGGTTTTGTGCAAGCGTCCCCCTTCCTGCCGAGCTGCAGTGGCTGCTCGAAGGTGTGGCTACGGGCCGTCGCGAGTGTGTGCTAAAACAGTCGACTTTGCCGGCCCCGGCAGCTTTCATAAAAAAGCACCGAACCAGGACCTGCCAGGAAGCTTATGTCCCCACTTCCAGTGCTCTGCTGAAGGCCCAGGGGTCTCGGGGATGCGCTCCGAGCAAACGCTGTGAATCTCAGACCATTCTGCCCACCTGCCCATTTTGGGCGCTTTCGGACCCTGACCTGCAGGTGGGTTTCATGGAGCGATGTTGGGCGTTTTCCAGAGACCCCACTTCCAGTGCTCCACCGAAGGCCCCAACCCACCAGGGGTCTCGGGGAGCCGCCCCTAGTAAACCCTGTGAATTTCAGACAATTCTGCCCACCTGCCCATTTTTCAGAGCACTGTCATGCCCGGACTCCTCCTTTTTCTAACCCTAACCTAATCTTAGCCCTAAGTAAACTTCTGTTGAAAAGAGGACTTGGCTGTCGCTTGCATCGCTGATGCTTCGGAGCGTGGCGAGAAACCCATCCCGCCGCCTCCCACGTCTCCCCCAGAGCCGTTCCCGTCCCTCCCCGCTGACTCCCCTCCCTCGCCGCCTCCTGCCCTCGTCCACAGGAGGACGCCGAGGAGTGGCGCCGCTTCCAGGCCGATCTGCAGACCGCCGTGGTCGTGGCCAACGACATCAAGTGTGAGGCGCAGCAGGAGCTGCGGCTGGCGAAGCGCCGGCTGCTGGAAGAGGAGGAGAAGAGCGCCCGGCTGCAGAAGGAGCTGGAGGAGGCGCGGGGTGGAGGCAGCCGGTGAGTGAGGGAGGCCAGTCTCTGGCTCCCTGTCCCCCTCCCCAGCTCCCCAGCTCACCTGTGCATGAAAGTTGCCTGTGCCCTTCCCTTGGCCTGTTCCGCACGCTCGCTGTGTGTGTGTGTGTGTGTCCCCCTCTCCCTTTCTCACTCATCCTTTCTGGCAGGTTGTGTTGCGTTCGAGTGTCACTGTTTGTGCCGCGTGCTGTCAAGGATGCTTTGAAAATCGCCCCGTCTGCTACCGAAACCTCTTTTCAGGGCCAAATCCACAAAGCAGCCCGTGAGGGCAGAGGCCCCGCCATGTTCAGGGCCCCCCCACCCCCGTTGTTGTAATCCCCCTGCCCTGGTTTTCCTGCCCCGCTCATTTTATGAATGCATTTTTTATTTGTTAGGAATGATCCTATGCTGCTTCATATGCTAAAATTGCTATGCACTTGGTGTGTCTAAACCCGTTTCCCCGACCGGTGATCATTTAGCAGTTTCCCAGGTTTTGTGCCATTTTTTTCACTTGACTCTAGAAGGTTGAAAGACCTCTCCTAATAATGTCTTAGATAGAAACCCACAGGATGCACTGCCAGCTAAAATACACTGGTGGTTTTTTTAAAAAAAATTATCTATTTTGTGCCCTGCCTCCGTTTCATCGGGCCCTGCCCTCCCCTGGGAAGTGGTCCCCGAGAATGGCTTTCAGACTTCGGGCCGAAAAGGGTTCGGCACCCGAGGACACTCTGGGCCGAAATGCTTCACGGACAAGCAGCACGGCCCCAGTCGGCCCTGGCAGCCGACCCTCGTCTTGCCAGCCCGCAACGCCCCGGCTTGCACATTCAGGGGTGAGACTCGAGCTCCCGCCCAGGGTCAGCTCCCAGCACCCGGCAGCTGATAACGGGGAAAGCCTGCCCGCTGGGACTTGCTGGCCAGCACATCGCTGCTTTTGTGGTTCTTTGTATTATTTATTTCATTTATATGCCGCCCAATAGTCACAGAGGCTTGTGGGCTGGGCAGCTTCCAGTATTCCTCCGATTTCTCTGGAACCCCTAAGCTTCTATATATCCATGTACGAATTGAGCGTATTTTGGTAAAAGATGCCTCACAGTTCATTCATCCAGTGGGTTGGACGAATCTGTCATGTCTGTGCTCTCTGCTTCCTCCAAGGAGCGAGGGGCAGTGTAACCGAGGATTGTGGGCCAAGGCTCAGTGGCAGAGCCCCCGCTTGGCGTGCAGAAGGTCTCCCATCAGCATCAAGTAGGGTGGGGAAGGAGCTCGTCGATAAACCCGGAAAGGCACTTCTTTCAGTCACTGAGCTAAATGGAGCGGCCTTCAGGCTTCGGAGAAGCATGCTTCCTATTTCAGTCCTGGCAGAGTGCCTCTCTTCTGCGCAGAAAAGCCCGGGAGCAACCCGGGACTCATCCAGTTTTTCAACAGGGTGCCGGGGTAGGAGCCCCTCTGCCTAAGTCCTGGGGTGGCCTCTTCCAGGAGGTGTGACATGTGCAGAAGGACAGGGCAGCTCCAGTGACCAGGCTGCCTCAGGAAAACACGCATGCCGGTTTTCCCCGCAGGGAACCGAGGGGCCAGGGTACCACCCTGGACCCCGTCTGTGCAACTCATTGCCGGCTCGCCGCCGGCTCCCACCAGAAGGGTTCAAGGAGATGCCAGCCACCTCTCTCCTTCCACAGTGGCAGCCCTTTAAAATAGTGGAGGGCTGGATCTGTTTGCCCGAACGATGCCTTTCCTTTCAGGAGTCCTGCTTTATCGAGCTGTCTCTCCGTCTGTCTCTTTTGCTCTTTGGTTTGAGTCGTTTTCACATCTGTCTGGCTTCCTTGTCGTGTGGCAAATCCGGGTGCCAGAACACACAGCTGGAGCTTTTTGCCGGGGCCCCCTAACGAGCTCTGGGGCTCCCCACTCATCCGCTTCACCGCCATCGTCTTCTGGCCGGAGTGAGGGGCAGATGGACTAGCGGCTTGCAAAGAGCAAGTCGGGGGGCTCTTGTCCGCGGGGCCCTGCCGGTCGTGGGCCCCTGGCAGGGGCCCGGCCGCACCAGGCCTCGCTTCGGGCCCCGCTGGCTCAGACCGCTGGTCCTCTTCCCGTCGGCCTCACCGGCCCCGCACACACGCTTCCCGCATCTCCCACACGCACATGCGGACGAGCGCCTCCCTCTTGTCTCCGGAGCAGCCGGCGAAGCTGAGCCTGCGAGGCCACCAGAGCGCACCTGAACGGAAGGTAAGACATCCGCTGGCGGGCACCCCGAGGGCTCAGCAGCGGCCAGCCCCTCTTGGCGTCCAGCTAAGCGGCTCCCCACCTCCACTCACAGCTCCCACCCGAAGCTGCCGCCTGCTCCCGGAGGTGCGCCGAGCCCCCCCGCCTCTCACGGCTCGCTGCCATGTCTGTGTGTCGAAGCCTTCCCCCTCCACTGCTGTGCGCCCCCCTGTGCCGCTCCGTGCCCATGTGTCGCAGCTGTTCCGTCTCGCAGAGGGTCCGGCAGGCTGCCGGGCTTCCGCTTTGCACCTGCTCCCGGGGAGGCCATGGGGGGGCAGGGCATGCTTGTTCAACCCCGCTGCCTCCCCAATGTGGGCTGACCGTAGCTCCCTGTGGGGAGGTTGCCGCTTCAGAAGTTCTGCCCAGACTTCGCCGCGAGGAGAGAGACAGCGGTGCCCGTGAAGGGGCAACAGCAGGTGCCTGGGACGTAAGAAAAAGGACTGGTCGAGGCATTTTGGCAAGCAGTACGGCCACCCAGCTCTCTAGCAGGCAAGGACTGCTCACAGGCCACTGTCTAGGCCCAGCAAAAATAGCTCCCCTTCCTCCTGCATCCCCCATTTTCATCGGGACTGGAGTTGCCTCGGTACCAGCACGCCAGTCCTGCTCTCCCGCTAACCCCAGAAACGAGAGATCCACGGGGCAGGGCTCCTTGCTGGCTGGTTTGGCAGCCGTTCTTGGCATCTTCGTCTGTGATTCAAGCCCTGGAGTAACCCGACAGGCGAGCGAGTGCCCGCATGTAAGCTGCTGTGAACATATTCCTCGCCCCTTGCATGGAGAGGAGCCACGGTGGCCTGCTATAGAAGGCCAGTTTGCCGAGGATGGAAGGGGTTCTTTCTGTGGCCGCCCGTCAGCGCAGGCCAGACTTCCCCAGTTTGCAGTGCTGGACTGCGAGGCCCATTTTCCCCAGGCAGCTGGGACAAAGAAAGACGAAGCGGGCTGACCCAGCAAAGGTTCTGTCCAGTGATAGTCCTACTTAGAGTAGACGCACTGAAATGAATGGGGCTTAGTCACAACTAACTTCTTCCATTCATTCCCATGGGCCTACTCCAAGTAGGACTTCCCTCAGATTCATGCCGCAGTTTGGGATGAGGGCAGGTTTGAGCGACAGACTTGGTTTGCTTCATCACTCGCAGCAGGATCGTAAAATTTCTCTTCTCTTTGGCATCCCCTAAAGGCCCGTCTTTGCTGTGTCTCTGTTTTCACAGATCTCTGATTCCAGTCAATTAACCCAGCCCTGGAAAAACGCTCTGTCCAGCGTGGGACTCAGCGCCTCCTCCAACAACCTCTACTCAAAAATCAGAATTTTAACCTGAGCAACAAACATTGGCGCTCTTAAAAAGAGAGAGAGAAATCCAGTGCTATGTCTGGTCAGTCTGCAATGTAAACCACAAAGGTCATTCTTGCCCTTTCTCTTTTTCCACAATCAAATTGGCTGGCTTTTTTTTTTTTTTCCCCACCTGCTGATGGTTGTGTGAAGCTCAGAGCTTGAACTTGGCGTACCAAACAAGCTGACCTCCCTCGTGGAGAAGGGACTGCCTTCCGTGCTCACGAGGTTTTCTCCTGAGATAGTTCTGCCAGGTTACCTCTTTGTGTCTTTCGGATTTTCCCACCCGCTGCTGGGCGTGCAGGGCATGAAAATTAAGACGGCGCATTCGGAACCACTCATCGGGTGTCGTCCGCCTCCCAGGGTGTCTCGGAGACCAGCCGCTAGATGGCAGCTCTCGCCTTGGAAACACAGGAGAGTTTTTCTTGCTTCTGGATAGTTCTGGGAACAGGATGGTGGAGCGAAAGCCCATCACTTGCTGCCCTTCCTGAGATCTGTGGGCAGAGCAAGGTACCAGGGCAAGAGATGCGGCATGTGACCCAGCAAACTTGCAAGCTCTTTGGATCCCCTGGATCACAAGGGAAGCTGCGGAGTGATCCCCCCGCGGAGTGGAAAAGAATCTCGAACACTTCTTCTGGTTTGGGGGAAAATGGAAGGGGGAAAATGCTATCGCAGTGATGGCGTGGATGCTTCCCCCTTTCGCATCCTTCCCAAAGGGTTTTGTTTGGAACGGCCTACTCAGGGAAAGAGTGCGGAATCCGTGGCCACGTGCTCCGGCTGGCACTCCTGGCACTGCGCCTGCGTTTCCATGGATCGAGCGCTGGGCAGCTTGTGGAGGAGGCACTGGGGTTGCCTGTTTGGCCACCAGCCCCAGGCGGGAGCAGTGGTGGGCAAGCCAGACCCCCTCACCGTTTGGAGGGGTCCCCGGCCTGCCCCCTTGGCAGTGTGGCTCTTCCTGTGAGACTACAGCCTGGGAGTCCTCACCTCTGCACTGGCGCCCGCAAGACGTCGACTCGATCCCGCCTCGCAAGCCTGGAGCCGCAGGCCGGATTTTTCTTCAACTTGCTGCTCACAGGGTGAAAGAGGAGCCTCATGGGACGGCAGTGGGCCGGAGCCTCAGAGCCGGCCTTCCCCAAGCCGGTGCCCTCCAGATGCGCCCCTTGCCCCGGTTGGGAAAGGCTGCTCCAATCGCCGCCTCCTTTAGGGATGCAGGAACAAAAATTCACCAGGCCCCCTTGGCCGGGTTCCCTCTTCAGAGGCTCGTGTGCCGCAGTAGCTCTGTGCGCTTGCGGAGTGTCCTCCTGGCCGCTCCTCGCGCGTGTTGCCTTGTATGTGGGCAGGGAGGGAGGGGGAACCTTTGGCCAGGTGTGCCAAATAAACGTGTCCTCCATGATGAGGGTCCCAGCGCCTCGTCCTTCTCCTCTGCCTTGAGCACCCGAGCCCGGCCATTCCTCGCTGCAGTGGCCGGAAGGACAGCTTCTTTCCTGGTTTTTTTAATTTTTAAATCCGGAGGGTGGATTTTGGGACCGGGTCGTGGCGTTAACATGCGCAGCTCTGCTCGGGGAGAAGGCTGCCGTGTGGCTGGTACCTCCGTGGTCAGCAGTCGTCTGCGTCCAAAAATCCATCGCTGTATCACGGGAGAAGAGGAGGAGTTGTGCGTTACATTTCTGGCCCTGCGGGAGACGTTCGGCCGGCTGCTCTGCAAACAGCCAAGGCTGGGTGGGCCTTTGCTCCGGTCCAGCCGAGTTCCTCAGGCCGTGCAAGTGTCGGAGTGCCTGCTCGCGATGGCCCGGGCCCCATCCTCCAGCGTCCGGCACATGCCCCCCAGAGCTCCAGGGACCTCTGCCCGCCCTTTCTTCTTTCCTGCCCCTGTCAGTGAGCCCCCACCCCAAGATCTGAATGCAAGGCCCCCCCC